CTGCACACTCCATTTCAACACGATGTGGTTATTATCTCTTGACTCCCATCATTTTCAATTCACACCATTTTCTTTTCTTTTTTTAATCAGAACTGAGAATTTGTCTAAAAATTAGACTTGCAAGTTAGTAATTCCTAAAGGGAAATTAAATTTTTTCACCTTTAAAAGGCAGACACCCTCTCACAAATTTCTGCCGGTATTTGAGTGCCCTGTTTGTTTTGACACAGTTTGCAAGAAGCATCCCCTATTCTCAGCTCCCATCATTTCTTATTTACACCCAAGCCCCCAACCAACAACAACTTAGAGCACACAGATAACACTCACTGTAGTCCAGAATAATTTAAGAATATTTTTGGGAAGCCCTACCTTGTGAAATGGATTGTGTTGATCGTATTATTAATACATGTCAGAACATCATAGATCAGAGAGCTTTTTATATGCATCTCTTTGTTCTTTCCTATTCTTTAGCCTATATAAAAGGAAGTAAAATATTTCTACATATTTATTCATGGATATTTCTCACAGAAGGTAGCAGGGAATAGGGGTAGATGAATGTAGGTGTCAAATATGACAAGTTCTCTGCAAATATATGCAATGTTTATAGCAAGTCTTCATAACCAGCATAACTGGGTGGATTTGTACATAAGAAAATGGCTGTATTTTTTTTACTTGAGTTTTATTGGAAAGGTGAAATTTGAACTTCAGTGTTAAAAGTGGGTAAACTAAGAAGAGTGATATAAGTAGCCAAGAAGCATCCCTATGTTGATAGTTCTTTGGGAGTTGGAAAGAAGTGAGTAGAGAAGAAAGAAAATAGCAAAGAAAAGCTTTTCTCTAGTAAACTGTAGTGCTATGACTTTAAAAGTTAAGTGCAAACCAAGCCAAAGGATAAATCAACTGGAGACCTATATGTATTTAGAGGGGAAACACACTTTTTCCATACCATGAGGACTCTGTTCAGGAATTAGTATGTAAATTACTGCTGATGCCCAATACTTACCAAAAGAGCTCATATTTGGGAAATTAATACAAGTTAGATTCTCAATAAATAGTTTGAATAGGGATTTTGTATTTCAGAACATTAAAGACAGTGCTGGAAAATGTGTCTTCTACTTAGCATTCATCCACAAAGATCACAGAGAAGCATCCAGCTCCTCAGATAGAATTTTATCCCACAATTGTGAGACTACTGACTCATGAAAGAAAATGAAGCAATTTTTATGATCATTTGTCACTTAGTGAGTTCAAGAACAAAGGTGCCAGTTATAATAAATGCCATTTAAATCACTGCTCTGCACCAATCTAAATTCAAGGAATGCTTATTCACCAATCACATGCTATCCTGAAACCAAGAACTCATTTCCAAATGTCAGCCAACAACCAGCAGTTGGAAATGACCACTGCTTAATCCTGACCTGAAATTAAGTGAGAGGTGGTGTAGGGTGAAAGCAGTCTTGCTCCATTGCTAATCTGCTGCGCTAGGCATGAGCCTCCCCCTGACTTTGGGACACTTGGGCCTCCAACCGCAGCGCTGCTCAAACCAGCAGGTGTCCGGCCAAAGTTAGACTCCCCACTCAGGTGCTGTCTGTCCACAGCCTATCACCTGCCAAGCAAAGATCTAGAAGCCAGCCCTGTCCTTTCCTGTCATTTTCCCCCTTATACACTTGTAGTACTTTAAAGAGTGCCCACAAGGTGGCAGGATTGTTACGTGTTGAGATTGATGAGCTTCTACTGAGACTGCTTTTTTTTTCTTCTTTTATTATCAATGCTGTAACAATTTCAGGGATCAGGCTTCCAAAATAACATAGATGAAGTATCATGTCCTGAAAATGATGATGCCCCTCAAACCTGCATTAGCTTGGAAGAGAAAGATTCATCTTGCAAAGAGCATTCTTTAAAAGATTCTTAAAATTACCTCAAAAGAATCTTCCTCCCACCTCTTTCTTAGCTTAGATTTCTTTGAGAGCAGGGTTGAAAGTCCTTAATGACAGGGCCATTTTATCCATACACAAACCTCTGGCACGTTCTGTTCCACATCACATGTTCCTGTTTAAAATAGTAGAAGGATAAGAGATGCTCTAGGGGCAGGCAGGTGAGCAGCTTTAGCCCCTAGGGGTCTGAGGGAGGAGGAGAAGGCAGCACTGCAGATAAATTCTTAGGAACAGCACTGCCCAGCTCTGTCCCAAGGAAGACTGGTTTCAGATCCTCCCAGGGGAAAGGGATACGGACCAGACAAGATCCAGTTCTTTCTTGCTTAACCAAAGAAGATGAAAGATAGATTTTCACCAAACACATTACTGAATCAGAGTTTGGAGAATTGTCCTTGCACTAAAACCCTAAAGGAGATACATGTAAATGTTCTCTTCTAACTGCCTCTTTTGTAAAGGAAGGTGATAGAAGTTTTATTAAAGCAATATCATAATATCCATCGCACTGCAGTGTTGGAAGTAAACATCAATTCAAATGTGTTTAAAGAACAATGAACTTTGTATAACATTATGTTTTGATGTTACCCAGTGGAGTGATCGGTTCATCATCACCCTCTTCCATAACATCAGCCAATCTGAGGACACTTTTATTAACCACTTTTGCCTGCTTCTGAAGACCTGCCTGTTGCAGGTGGTGGCCTAGGGGTTAAGTTTCAGAACTATTACCACTATAGCCTGAATTGGATCCAGACAGGTAGCTAACCCAGACAGGGTGCAGCAGACCTCTCCTGCCATGCCCACTGTTCCACTTAGCAGTATATTTTAGTAAATCCGCCAGTCCTGTTCCCCACTCTATCTCTGGTGAATTCTCTCATACCACCCCCAACACCTCTGGCCTCCACCCCTGTTTTTCTATGCCAAAAAAAAAAAAAAGAAAGAAAAAGAAAAATCCTGCCTGTTGCAAACAGGACTCTGCTACAAAGTTCCTATTCTTTCCTTGTCTAAGGTTTTCCTAAAATAACACAAGCATCTCCTCTCTCATCTAGAAATCTTTACTATATGCTAGGGAACCCTTTTTCTCAGGGCCTGTTTGGAAATACATACCTGCTCAGTCTACCAGCAAGCAAGGATATGGTGTTCTGGCCACAAGGTAACATAAAGACAAACGCTTGCCACCACACACAGCTGCTGCCAATTAAACACCTAATCTCTACAACTGCCACCTTGAAAACTTTAACGATTATATTTAAAAGTTACTTTATATTAACATGAGTATATAGTAGAACAGCCAAAGGCAGGCAATATTAGCAATAGTAGGGAGATAACCTGCTGGTGGTATCTTTTAGGCTACAGTTATTGTTCCTGTTGCCTCAGCATCTCTTGACCTTTTCTACCCTTCAATTTTCAGAGCTGAGGGTTTAGAGATGTGGTAGCCAATAGACTCACAGCAGGCTAGATTCTCTTAGAGATTTCTGAGGTCTGCAATGGGCCTCCATACAGAAAATGTCGTGAGAGTGGATAAATGAACCCAGTTCTATTAATAGCATTATTGAAGGCAGCAACATTAAGCTACCAAAGCTGTTCCATTTGGGCTTTTTTTTGGAGGCATGTAAGGAGAAAGGTGCCACACATTGATTCCAGAAAAGCCATTCAGCTGTGCCAATAAAGAGCCATTTTCCTGTTCTACCCACTGGGTTTTCACATATCTGTGTGAGTTTCAGCCACCGGCTACTCTTTGTAACTGACCTTCTCCTGGGAAGTAAGAAGGGAAATACTCCATGAAGACCAATTTTTAGAGCATTTCAAAACACTTAAAGACTTTTACCTGCTGTGGCAGAGTGCTCCGTTTGACTAAGCTCAAGAGAAAAAAGAGCAGGGCTCTTCCTCATCAAGTAAAAATTTCCTGAGTGCTGATGAGTCATCTCTGAGGTACACTGTTTGGAAAGAATATTCTGCATCCAAATGCCTGCCTCTGGGCTGCTTGAGAACAGCTGCTGAGTCAGCGCTCAGTGGGGCAGTGGCCCATCCAGAGCTATTAAGTACAGATCTTAAAAACAGATGTGTTGTTGAGAGTGTGAGGATTATTTATTTTCCCATGTACTGCCTGTCCTGAAAGACTTCCTATGCAGCCTGTACATTGAGTTATTTTGTGAAAATAGACAATAGGGGGAAGAAATTGTGGCTTTTGGTAATTTGAAGAGCCTTGATTATCTGAGCTAAGAGTTACAGTAGCCAAATAAGGTCACCTGCCCAAGGCTGCTTGTATAATTTGCAGCACCCAGAGCAAAATGAAAATGCAGGGCACCTTGTTCAAAATCATTAAGAATTTCAAGATGGTAACAGAGTAACCTTAAAGTAAGGGAGTGAACTGGTAGCCTGTCTCTGGAGCCAGCCTGTACCCAGCTCTCCCTGGTAAGCTCCCTAGCAAGTTGATCTTTGAACAGTGGCAGTTGAAATGGTGTATGGTAGGTTACATTTTAAAATGTGCTGGGTTGCCTAGCAACTGACAAAGGGCTTGAATAGGCTGACTTCAAGTTTAGATATACCATCTTGAAAGTCTAAATTCATGGAAACCTTCTAGTAGACTGATACTTTTCACAAAAAAAAAAGTAATATAGTAGGAGATAGAAATGGGGAGGGCAAGAAGGAACATATTTTTCTACTCTTATAACCTGTGTGGCTAGCTTGTCATTTTCCCTGTTCAATCTTCCACAAATAAAACTACTCATAAGTGAAGTAAAAGTGAAAAGGAAATTCCAGTTTTCTCAGAGATATAAACAGTATTTTCCTTAGAGGATAATAAAAACATGATTAATCAATACATGTTTTTGAACACATTCATTTGGCAATTCAAGAGTACAATTTAAGAAAATTGATTCACACTCATTGAACATGGCAGTAGTAAGTGCCGACTATGTAGTAGACTACAGACATGAACAAGTCAGGTTTTCTTCTTAAATAACTTTAATAAGACTATGTGAGACCATTCAGCCAAAGTGAAAGCAACAATTAGCAGCATTACATTTTTACAGAACAGAGTTTATGATCTCTCTTTCTCTTCTTGGTATGGTACAGGGTCCTTGTGCTGCAGAATCAGAACCAGCTCTTTTGCTAGGAAGCAAGCAGTTTGGGCTTTCGAAAAACAGTCACATTGCAATTGCATTTGATGACACCAAAGTTAAAAACCGGTATGTATTCTTCTGAGATAATGGACAAGAACTGGTAAGCAAAAGTACCCAATATTTGCATTTATTCAAGTTTAATCAACTATATTTATTAATTAACGAAGTGAGCTTTTTTTAATTCACTGATTACAGTAAAGAACAGAATTATATTTGTCTGAGCCTGAGTAGCCTAGTTTAAGAAATCAGCAGACCTGGAAAGTCCTCACTCTCCTTTATGAAAATGCACCCATGATCAGATGTCTCTATTTTAGAATAAGAGTCTCTTACTCTTGTGTTTTACTTTGTGTGCTTTTATTTCACAGCCTCACAATTGAGTTTGAAGTACGCACTGAAGCTGAATCGGGCTTGCTTTTTTACATGGCTCGGATCAATCATGCTGATTTTGCTACAGTTCAGCTGAGAAATGGCTTGCTTTACTTCAGCTATGACTTGGGGAGTGGTGACACCAACACCATGATCCCGACCAAAATCAATGACGGCCAGTGGCACAAGGTAACAGTCCCTGGATGCTGGCAGTGCCCTGGGAGGGAGGTCTAGGTGGCCCGACCAGCTTTACATTGGTGCCAGTTCTCTTCAGCCAGTGCAGACACTGGCTCTGATCCTATTGGAATGTGGCCAGTGCTCAAAATAAAGCAAGTGTCATATGCAACTTCCCAGCCTTGGAAAATGTGATCCAAGGACAGGTTTATATCTGACCACTCATAGCCCTCACCATGGTATTCTAAGGGTCAATCATAGCTATGCAGTGTGGCTCCCAAACATCTGTTCACCAATGAGGGCCAGGCAGTTGTAGATTAATGGGTAAACATGGGAAAATAGAGGATGTTAATGATAAAGCTTTATGTTTTCAATTTATCATATTTAAAGATTTATTTATTTATGCATGCAAGAACTGGGGTACAGGCCAGATGTATGGAGGGTAAGAGGATTCATCAGAGACAGAGTGGAGAACAGAAAAGGCAGACTGACAAACACACTGCTGAAGGGAGCAGCAGGCAAGACAGGAGAGGTCTTCTGTACCATGTGAATAGCTCCCCGGCTGGCCAGGAATTGAACTCATGCTGCAGAGGTTGTGGATAGCTTCACAGTGCTGGGTTTACCCCCTTGTGGCACCAGGGAGACCCCTACATTTTCAATTTAAAGGAATAATATTTGTTCTAAATTTATGTCTTCCTTCTAAGACACTAAAATGGACTTTTTTAATGAAAATAATCTTTGAAAAACTTAAAGCTGGCAATATGAAAATGGGCTCTAAGACACCTTTGCCCCATCGTGGTCTGTGAAAGCAGAGCCTGTGTTTGAAGGACACTAGGGTATCATTTCCACCAACAGTCATTTGGAACAACTTTTAAAACATTGGCCTTACACCCAGAAACTGTACTATTATGGGCACAGAAGGCTTAATTGCCAGCTTACTGTCCTCTTTGGCATAACTGCAAATAGATAATATACTGTGTGATTAAAATGAAAACTCAGAATTTGTCTCTGCACCTGTGATAGCCTATTAAGTAAATCTTCCCTGGGTACCCTAATAAAATTTTTAATTTTTAGAGTAAGCTATTATTAGATGCTGCATTTGATATATTAACATACTTTGACTTGTCATATCACACAGAAAGTTAAAGAACCTGAATAAATATAATAAAAACACAAAGTAACCATTTTGCTCTTTTAGAAATAAGAAATGGAATCTTCATATTTGCTTGGGAGGTTCCAATTGGAAAACATATTTATGAAGCAACTATCATTAAGGTTCATTCTCATCTCTGTCTAGTTGAATAATGAGTGTGAAATGAGAGTAAAATAGAAAGTTGGGCAGCAGTGAGGCTGGGATTAAGCAAGAAAGCTTAAATACTATAAGTTGCCAATTGAAGGAAGAATTTTATTTTTGAAGGCTTATAAAAGTTTCTTTCCAGGCCAGAATAGTTAAATGTAAAGTGGGGTCTTAAATTATCCTAATCCTGCTGTAGAAACATTTTGAAATCATTATTATACTCCAGCATTTCATAGGTCTACATACAGGCTCTTTTTCCTAAATTCAGGTTAAAAATTCTTATGCTCAAGCCAGTCTTCACGCCCTCTTTTCACTTTGTCTCAGATGATAATTACTCCACTGCTGCAGTTTCATCATCACTCAGCTCTCCGTCCACCTCCCTGACTTTGTCCTAATCAGCTGCTGCAGAAGCAACTGTGCTGTGTGTACTTCTTTCCTCCACTTCCACCCAACAGGGACCTGGTAGGCAGGAGGGAGCTGATCTGAAATTGTGTTGGAGAGATGAGGCTTTGCTCAGTCAAATTAATACATTTTTGAAATCGGACATGAATTTTGCAGCCCATTAAATTTGTGACAGCTCTCGGTATGCAGGGTGCTTTAACACATGCCTACGTCTTGATATTTATGCTTATTCGTCAATTTAGGGAAAAGTCTTCCATAAAAATCACCCAGGAAGATTTTGAACTCTTTTGGAGATCATAGTAATGGAAAAGACAAAGCTTGAGATATTTTGTAAGTAGGTTTAATTTCACTTAGGAGATTAGCGCATAGGAGGCACTCAGTAAGTTATTTTGCTTTTCCTAATATCCTAAATGTTCTGATGTCTTTGAGATGTCTATTTGAGATGTATCTGTCATTGGCATGAATGACTCCTCCTCCTTTTGTAGATTAAAATTATGAGAATTAAGCAAGAAGGAACTCTTTATGTAGATGATGCCTCCAACAGAACGATCAGTCCCAAGAAAGCTGACATCCTGGATGTTGTGGGAATGCTGTACGTGGGCGGGCTACCCGTCAACTACACTACCCGGAGAATTGGTCCTGTGAGTATCTAATTTGTTTCTTTGTGGCCTAAATGACTGCCTGTGTCATGCAGGTGTTTTGAATTTTTCAGCAGCATGTGACCCCATATGTGCGAATAGGAAATCATCTTTTCTGAGAAGTAACAGAAGGTTTTCTGGACACATTTGACTGGGAGAAAGAGAAGCAATATTACAGAGATGGATCTGGGAGCCCTTCTCTGTCAATTTGAATACCTACCTACCTATTGATCAACTGTGTGATCTTGATCAAGTTACTTAATCTTTCTTTGACAGTGGTTCCACTTTTGAAATATAGGATGATGATAATAATAATACCACACAAACAAGGTTGCTGTAAAATTAATTATTTAAAGTAGTTAGCAGAGTACCAAGCATATGAAAAGCACTATACAGCGAGGAAGATGATAATGATGGTCTATCTTTAGGACCAGACATTCAGCAAATATTGGAGATGCAGTATTTAGTGTATAGTTATCCAATATAGATTCAGAATTTAAAGTTTTCACAATTTTGTAAATTAATATTCAGAAAATAATTGTTAGATCATGTGTGGTGGTTTGCTTTGGAAAGCATTTTTTTTTTTTTGAAAAACACATGAGACCAGGATTTTTATAGAATATACTACGTACAAATGGGATCCAGCTCTATACTCAGTTTACAACACATAATATAGAATTGTTCTTCATCAAAAACACTCATCTATTATAGCTATGATTTTCAGCATTTAGCTTCTCTTGTGAGTGATCAGTATCACTCCCTTTCATGGCTATTAAATACGCAATCTAGGCCAATCAAAATTAGTCCCTGAAGTTAGTGTCGAGAGTGATTAACTTGCATCCCTAAAACCAGATGAAATGGAACATAGCAGAGTTAGACTGGATTTCAAATAGAATATGAACATAGATTAATACAAAATGTGCATATAGTAAGGGTAATAAACTATTAATAGGAACACAAAATCAGGAACATGAGAAACTAATTAGTTATGATACCTATAGGGGAACTCATAGGTCTGTCAAAGTAGTGGTCCCCTTATGGAAATAGTGGACAGTATTTGGCTGGTCAGAACTACCTTATTCCAGGCTAGATACATGCTAGTTGAGAAGCATGGCTCCTCTGTATCTGCGTTGTGAAGCCTGGGCTTATGGGATGGATCCCAGCAGCTCCTGGGGATGCCTTAAGACAATTGCCAGTGATTATATCCATAGAGCAGCACCATCTTATTGTGTTCCACATAAAGGCAAAGATCTGCTAAAACCTGATGTTTTTTTCTTCTGACCTAAATATGTAGGTGACCTACAGCATTGATGGCTGCATCAGGAATCTCCAGATGGCAGAGGCGCCTGCTGATCTTGAACAACCAACCTCCAGCTTCCACGTGGGGACATGTTTTGCAAATGCTCAGAAAGGGACATATTTTGATGGAACAGGTTTTGCCAAAGCAGGTGAGGCTCTGCCATTTCCTTTCTAGTGAATATTAAATAGGTACAAATCTTAACTTCTTGCTTATACAAAAAATAAAGTCCCTGGGATCATAAGCTAGTATCCTTTATGTAAACCAGAAATAAAAACACATAGAAAAAATTTAATTGCCTCTTAAAAATTAATATATCTGATTCTGATAGGAACTAATAGAAGAAATAAAATAAAAGGTTATTTGGAGAGTTTAATCTCCTTCCCTGGAGATTAATAATGGCAAAATAAATGTAATTCTGGAAAAAAGTTAATATATTTATAACATATAATTTATCTATTCTGTAGTCTTCTCTATCTTTCTGGAGATGAGATACCATTTTTCTTTCTTCTCTTCAATTCCTTGCAAGGCTCCATTTCATGGTCTCCTCATCATCACACAACAAACACATACTGGTGTCCTTTTCTTGCTAATGGTGATGGTTGGTACCTTTGCCTCAATTTCTTTAAATATCTTCTCTTTCTAATAATATTCACTGATAGTGAATATACAATTAAGAAAGAAAATTATGAAATAACTTCATAATTACAAAAAAATCTGACAAAATACTTTAAGATGGAATATTCAGTACCATGGTTACCAGAGACTCCTGCATTTGTTCATAAGAGAAAAAAAAAAATCAATGAGAGCTGAATATGTAACCATTATCATGGTAAATAAAAATAAATGAGATGTTGCTTCCTTCAATACTATACCATTAATAGATAAGATTCAATGTGCTTAGAAATCACATGAAACAAGTAAAAATGATTTTTAAAAAACAATGCAAGACATACAAGCAAGGTTATGTGGATATTTGGAAGATTGATTGGCTGAGGAAATGAAAAGAAGCCTTAGGAAGTATTGTCATTTGAGCTAGGATTTAAAGTATGAGTTGCACATTTACATACAAAGGTCAGCAGAGATGGAAGAACAGGGTCCTCCTACAGGATCCTGTAAGAGTGTCCTTTCTAAAAGAGTATAAGGTAAGAAACTTCACTTATGCAGAGGCACAGAACAGAATATGTTCAATATTGGAACATTGGGAGTTATATGACCTTCCAAATTACATGTGCTATAAAAATCCAAACACTTAGCAAAGATTTCTGCAAATTCACAGATGGCTAGCATTATTTTGGTCAAATTTTATGGCAAGCTTCAGCTTTAACTTCTGCAGTTAATAAATTGACTTGCCATCCCACCTGAGTTCTTTGGCTCTGGATCAACTGGACTACATGATTAGCCACTTTTCTAGTTTCCAACAACTCCCTCATCCCCTAATAGTCAATGTGATGCAAGCTTCCTAAGAGTTGGGTGGTTAGGAAGGAAGGTAATATCTTTTGAAAACATACACCTTTAATTTAAATCTTTCATAACTTTGTCCTTAAAAATCTTTCCAGCCACCCAGTTACTGGGGCTTTGTTAGCCCCTTCACTCACTCTGTTCTCAGCTTAACTGCCACATGTTCTTTATCTCTTCTTCTTACTTACCCCTTTAGGAACAGAAACAAAATCTTCCTGTTTTCTTGAGAATTACTTAGCTTCTCCCACCCTTTAATTTTAAAATTTGTTCTTAACCTGCCTTTGCCCATCCAAACCCATAAAAGTTCTCAGGAGAATGAAAATTCTTTCACAAAACAGGGGCTGCCCTTCATTGGAAACAGTTATGTTTCCATATAACATCTATTTCATATCTGAAATGTAGAAAACATGAGTTCCTTCCTAATACTTCATGTATATGATGTGGTTTAGCTTGATCATGATAACTCATTTTGTGTCCAAGAGGCCTGTCTTAAATACTTGCTAAAAGGTTGAATAAACAAATGAATTAAATATGGAAAAATACACAGAAAAGGATGTGCTGTTGAACTAGGAAAGTCTATATACATATATATGTATATGTCTGTATACATGTATGTGTATATGTGTGTGTGTGTGTATGTATGTTCCAGAATCTTCTCCTTCAAAATTGTACTTGCAACTTCTTTAATTTGTAAAATGTTTTGGAACTTTTGAATCCCTTCATATCACTGTAGTGCCACTTAGAGCACCCCAGTAAAATTTTACAGAATAGTCTCTGAAATACTTCTTTCTACAGCAAGGGTTCTAACATAATCATACTGACTGTAAAGCACTTTGAGTAACTATGTTTTTATTCATTCATTTATTCAACAAATATATATTAAACCTGTATCATATGCCAGATATTTTGGGTGAGCACAAGGATATAATGGTGAGCAATACAGTCAAATTCTCTGCCTTCACAGAACTCACATTCAGGAGGGAAGGCAGCCAAGGAAATAAGCAATAACTATATAGTGTGTTATATGATACAGTAGTGGAAGTGGAGGCCATGTGAGCATCTGGAACTTAGAGTTATTACAATTGGCTAACACCTGAATTGAATTCTGGTAAAAAAGAAACATTGTTTTGTACAAATTTGAATTAGCAATCCTTAAATTCTAATCCGCAATTTAAAAAAAAATATTCTTCATTTTACAGTTGGTGGGTTCAAAGTGGGATTAGACCTCCTTGTGGAATTTGAATTCCGTACAACTAGAACCACTGGAGTCCTTCTGGGAATCAGCAGCCAGAAAATGGATGGAATGGGAATTGAGATGATTGATGAAAAGGTGAGCATTAGCTGTCTAAATATTTCAGAACACTTTGTGATATCATTGTTCACATGTAGAAACTAATTTGAAGCCTTGCTATATTCTTTGTTGTATCTTTTCATCTTTTTTGGATTATCTCATTTCATGTGTGTTTTCAACACACTTATTCTGCAGATCGGTATAAAATGTAAAAGCACTAATTTTACAGTATGCCAATTGTGTTGACTAATGATGAACCAAACACTTTTAGATCCCAAGCTCTTACTGTGTTGCTAAAAGTACAGTTATTCTCTTCTTTGTGGTTATATAGCCTGTGACACAACTAATCCCAATGGAGAAAAAAGACTTAGATTGTCTAAAATCAAACTTTGACCTAAAACAGTATAAGCATGTCTCAAGTCAAGGTGGCTAGCTAACAGATCAGTTTCTCAATGTTTAATTAAAAGCATCCAAATGCCATTTCAAAAATAGAGCAAATCTATGTAAATTTATATTGTACAATATAAAGTATTTGTCAGTTTGCTCCCAAAAATGGATAATCTAATGCAGTGTCACTCATCTCATACCTATGAATAACAATCTGCAATGAGATGACCTGTCTATATATACTTTGTACTGGAGGAAGGAGGTAGAAAAGCGCAAGACAAAGAAATACATTTCACAAGTGTCCTAGTTGGCTATTGAATCGGAATCATATTGAATTCTGGCCATTTTTCTACTTGTAAGGAGTTTTGCTTTTCCATTGCTTCCCTCCTGCCTGCTAGTCTTCAAACCCTCATCAAAGGCCATAAAGCAAAAAGATCCAGGAGCAGAGAGGCAAAAGGGAGGAACAAATAAGCAACACAATGGTTCCACCAGATTTTCAAAATCACTTTCACTTCATCTTTCAGTAAACTTCATTTCATCACCTGCTTATAACCAGAGTTACTGTCAACTTGTCAGTTTATCAAGTTCTATTACACTGCATGTGGCTTTCTCTCAGCTCATTTATGTGCAAAAATCCTATTATTACAAACTCCACCCAAAGAGCAAACTCTTAACTAGTATTTATATCATTGTATAGTTTACAAGCTTTTCACCTATTTATTTACTCTTAATCTTCTATTAAAAATCTTTTTCTTTTACCTTGTCAAATGTGTTGCCCCTTGACTAATGTTTTTAATGTTTCAATATGTTTCTTTTCTACATCAGCTTCAAAAGAATTCTGTCATCTTGAATTTCAGGACCATTCTATGTAACTCAAAACAGATTTTTCTCATTTTGACAAGAACTTCCAATCTAAGTTCTTCATTGTTAAGAATTTAACTGTCCTTCTGGCTCAAAGTTCTTGGCACCTGTGACATAAAGCTTGCCAAAAAAAGTAATTTATATAACTCTCAATCCGTTATATGAAATGGAATCCATGGAAGGAAAAAAATGCAATTACAACATCAAAAGCTTAAATTAAAATAATCTTTAAAATGATTTGTAAACCAAATTAATGTATCATGCTCAATGACATAAGAAAATGTTATAAGGTTCACTAACAACTTTTACACTCTAAAAAGATCTCTGATAGAATTTTTTCTCTGGGTATACTAGATTCTTTTTTTGTCTAGGGGGTCTCAAATTGTATTTCACATTTTCTGAAAGCAGAATTATTACCAGACTCACAAATCTTGTCTATTGTTCTCAATAATGCCCTAACATAAAGAACATAATTTGTGATTCCTGGTCATTAAAATTGTATTTTAGTTTTTATCACATTATAAATAAAAATTTTAATAGCTCCATATATGTTTACTCCCAACTATTCCAGCTGAGGTCTTTCCTAGAGACCTGACAATTTCTACTACATGAGCCATGCTGATAGCTGCTATTGAAACCACATGTGACTATTCACTTTCCTTTGTTCTAGCTTATGGTTCATGTAGACAATGGTGCTGGCCGATTCACTGCTGTCTATGATGCTGGAATCCCAGGACATCTGTGTGATGGACAGTGGCATAAAGTCACAGCCAACAAGATCAAACACCGCATTGAGCTGACAGTGGATGGGAACCAGGTGGAAACTGAGAGCCCAAATCGTTCCTCTACATCAGCCGATACAAATGACCCTGTGTTTGTTGGGGGGTTCCCAGGTAGGCATCAGCTATCCCAGAATTTCTTTGCTCTATTATGTTAGTGGTTTTGGAAACATTCCTATTTCTATAAATATGTCCAAGAGTAGGTGCTTAAGTGTACCTGTTTCCTAGCTTTAGACGCTGTTCCCATAAATAACACCTTGCCTGAAATTTCCAGTGTGTAAAATGAACATATTATTTATAAAGAACACATAGTTCTGAATGTTTCATGATTGTCCCTCCCCCCTCCCAGAATTTCATTCATGAGGAGATGGAGGCTAGAGGAAATGAATTTGGCTTATAAAAGATATGAGGTATTTAACAGTAAATGGGGCCAAAAGTTGGAATTCTTTCTGATATTTTAAAAATTAATATGCCAGAGGAATAATAAAATGTTATGGAACTTATTACTTTAAGTTCTGGATATCATTGGGTTAAATGTGACTAATTTCCCCTTAGGTTATTATACAGCTTATATTTATATTACAAAGAAACCCAAGCAATAAATCTGAATTCAAAATCCTTCTCCAAGCACATTAAATATAATAGGTGAACCACAGAGAGTTACCTAAAGTGCCCATAAACAAGAGTACCCAATTTGATGAGAAATAAGCCAAGTGCCTCTTAATAAATACTATAATAACAGAGACTCCTGGAATAGTATTTCAGTATTTTGGCAAGAGAAACTTCTGTCCTCATTTTTATAAAGCTCATCTGCTTCACAAAATAAGCAAAATGTATATTCAGAGGTGGTTGATTGAGAAAACATATAGGAATTACGGGGACCAGTTCAGAACCCTTCCTGAAATGCTTTTAAGTTTTTAAAAAGACCTACTTCTCCTTAAATCAGGATAATCCTCAGGCTGCTGTGAAGGAGATAATATGCTTCCCCATTCACAGTCCATGAGATGGAATCCTGGTCATCACCTAGTCCTGTTAAAAGAAGGGATCCTCTCCTTAATAAGAGAAAGATTTTGCTTCAATTTTCAACTAACCTAAACTTTTGGGATTTATTTTTATAATGTAGGAAAGTAATAAAGTGACCACTAAAAATCCATGTCTTAATTAAATGATTTGATCAGTTGCTTTGTTTCATTACCTAATAATTTTAAATCACAACTATAAGTTTGTTCTTCCTAAACAAATTCTTTGTCTGATGTCTTAAAGTGTGTAACTGTCCATATTTCGTAATACATAACTATAAAAATATTGATCTTTTGCTACAAGTTTTTACTGTTAGTCAAGTTAAGAACAGAATCACTCACTTCACATAACACAGCCTTCCCATACAATCTCGAGCTAACAACTGACTTTGAAACATGCTCTTAACAAAGCAGCTACATTTCAAAACTGAGTCCTTTTTGTTTTGTTTTTCAGATGGCCTCAACCAGTTTGGCCTGACAACTAATGTTCGATTCCGTGGTTGCATTCGATCCCTGAAGCTCACCAAGGGCACTGGCAAGCCCCTGGAGGTTAATTTTGCCAAAGCCCTGGAACTAAGGGGCGTTCAACCAGTATCATGTCCAGCTAACTAATAAAATAAGTTTTACCCCAAGAAGGGTCTTTTAAAACAAGTTTATCAAGTAAAACAAATATATGTTACCTGTGTATGCTAGTGAAACTAATTTGTGCATGTAAATCGAATTCTTTCTGTATTCAGATGGTGCTAATTCAGATCCAAGGCTGAATTTTATTTCAAGTGCTTTCTCAAATTCATGCATATTAAATCAGTTATTTCATTCTAAATAATTGTTTGTGTAAATTTTTAAAGATAAAAAACAACTCACCATAAATTATTGAATTTTCAACATGTCCCAGAGTCATTTCAAGATGAACTCAGATATATATTTGTGTGTGTGTGTGTGTATATATGCATATGCATATGTATTTTTTTAACAAACTCTTATTAATACTTTTATCATTATTTTCCATGTATGTCAGCTTTGGCTTTCTGTCCAGGCCACTTGGAAACAACAGTGGATTTGTCATGTTTGATTGGGAACAAATCAGCTCCCTGACTCCTCATGTTTGTGAAAGCATTAGCAAGTCATTTCCCTGATTCAGGTTCATTATTAGAGAGTTTAACTAGCCGTAAGAATGAATACCTTTTTATGCTGAAGGCAGAGAGTATAGATCAAATTCAGCCTGAGAGCTTAATGACTTGATTTTCTTGTTTGATAATGATTTATAGGCTTTGGGGAAATACCAGAACCAAGTTCCAGAATGACAAATTAAGCATACATTTGATACTACAGTACTAAGGCTTTGGGCTCTACATTTTCAGTGAATATAGCAATCTACACTTAGGAGGAAAGCAGTAATGCTGGAATGTGCTTTTACTTACCAAGGAACAATAAACCAGGAACTTAAAGGCATTCATCTTTGAGTCTTCTTGGAGTTGTAATTTCACCTAACTTCATTTCATTCAAAAACTTCTATTTTGTTGTTCTCTTTTTGCCCACTATTTCAATAATCTTCAAAGGGGTCTGTAAGAGTAGATTATATTTATCACCTTAAGAAGGAAACATTTCATTTGCCATCTTCAATAGAATATTTTAGTCTAATAATGCAAAACATTTAAAAGAACAGACTTACCCCCCAACAGAGTGATAATTTTAGCAGAAGGGTAATTCTCTCTGACAGTGTTGTCTGTTGGGGAAAGAAGGTGCTGTTTCTAAATCAGGAGAGAGGCAACACACTCAGCATTTCATCATTGATTAGTGGCTTGATATGATTTGCTCATACAGTGCATTCTAGAGCAGGTGACTTTCATTTTCCTCCATTTTGAATTACCTGAGAAGCTTTAAAAAGCTGGTGCCTCCATAGTGATTGGACCAGTTTGCACTCCCACCAGCAGTACAGGAGAGTTCCTTTTTCTCCACATCCTCGCCAACATTTGTTGTTGCTAGTTATTTTAATATGTGCCATTCTCACTGGTGTAAGATGGTATCTCATTGTAGTTTTGATTTTCATTTCCCTGATTACAAGTGATGTTGAACATTTTTCATATGCCTGTTGGCCATTTGCATTTCCTCTTTGGAGAAGTTTCTTTTTAGCTCTTCTGCCCATTTTTTTGACTGGGTTGTTTCATTTTTTTTGTTGTTGTTGTTGAGTCTCCATTATGGAGAGCTGTGTGGAGATTCCTTAATCTGCTAAAGATGGAGCTACCATATGATCCAGCAATTCCACTCCTATGTATTTACCCAAAGGACACAGAAACATTACTTCAAAAGGGCACCTGCACCCCTATGTTTATAGCAGCACTATTTACAATAGGTAAGCTATGGAAACAACCCAAATGCCCAAAAATAGATGACTGGATCAAGAAGATGTGGTACATATACACAATTGAATATTACTTAGCAATCAAAAAAGATAAACTCATGCAATTTGCAGCAACATGGATGGAGCTGGAAGGGATCATGTTCAGCAAAATAAGTCAGAAAGAAAAAGAACAATACCAGATAGTCTCACTCATAGCAGGAATTTAGAAAACCTAAATAAAGGACGAGGAAAAAGACTAATTATAATAAAGTAAAAATCAAAATCAACAAGCAACTATCAACCAGCGACACACTGTGGGGTGGTGGGGGGAGACAGGAGTAGGATCAAAACAAGGGAGTGGGAATTGTATGGGGACTATAACCAAGATGAAAATGCATACGTTGTGCAAAAATGAAAAATGATGTAAAAAATATATAAAAGAAAAAAATAAAATTGATAATAGTAAAAAAATAAATAAACAAAAAGCTGATGCCTGATCCTGTAATTCTGCGTTGGTCTAATAATATAGTTTGGGCATGAGGATTTTTAAAAAGCTTTCCAGGCGATTCTAAAGAGCCATCAGGGATGAGAACAACTGTTCTAAAAAGAAAAATTACACAGCCAACAAAGAGTTGTAGGGCACTTGAAAATCTTACTGTGAACATTGGCTTGACCATTTTCATACACAGAAAAAGTTATATAATATTGGTTAATGTCTTTTAAACAACCTTTAAGCAGTATTACTCTTGAAAACCAATGTGTTTAGAAAGTGGAAACGTTACTTCTGCACTGAACACAGATATGATTTTTTAACTTACAAAAAATGAGTGGGTAAACAGGAAAAAAGATGCTAGGTTCCTAGATGAAAAGCTAATGCCTTTCTTTCTTGGATTCCACACAGAAAGACACATAACAAATTTGAAAGCAAAGGTACTTAATTGACACGTATCAAGTTCAAGTCCTGCTGAAGTCAATTTGCAGTTAGGTGCCTTAGAGCAGTAGTGGTAGTTGGTACAATTGAAAATACCCTTTGAGATCAATAAATACAGAGATTCTCAATGCTAGTTAGATATTAAAATTCCCCTGGGTGCTTAAAAAGACCACTTACCTCTGGATGTCACCCCAGACCAATTAAAGTATAATCTCTGAAGATGGCATTGACATTTTCTAAAGATCCCCAATTGACTCTGGTTTTTTTTATTTTTTTAAATTTATTTATACAAGCACTGGGTACAATCAGAAGAGCAGGAGGGTGAGAGAATTCACCAGAGCCAGAGCAGGGAACAGAACAGGCAGATGGACTGAAATACACTGCTGAGAGGAGCAGCGGGCGCGGCAGGAGAGGTCTGTCGCGCCATGTGGGACCCTCGCCCGGCAGGCGGGGTTCGAACCCAGGAGCTGCAGAGGCTGCGGGCAGCTTCGCAGCCCAGCGATCAACCGTTGCTCCACCACCAGGAGAGGCCCTCCCCAATTGACTCTGATATGCAGCTGAGACTGAAAACTTCAGGTCTTCTGCTCTCTCCATATTTTTTTTTCCTTTTTTTTTTTTTTTTTTTGTGGGACCCTCACCCGGTGGCCCGGGGATCGAACTGGCACTGCAGAGGCTGCGGGCAGCCTCGCAAGCCTGCACTCAACAGCTGCACCACCAGGGGAGGCCCTCTCCATATTTTAAGGAGAGTGGTTGGAGAAAACTTGGGGAGATTTGGTGGTGTTTTCCAAGTCCCGTATTAAGCTTTCCAGTGTACAACCAAGAAAATTGTATCTGGACTTAAGCAGAATTTATTGAATCAAGTGTACTTCTCCCTCAGACTCTATATTCTGCAGTGGCTCATATATACATATGGACAAAACTTGTCCAAGCTGTAAGGTGAGAAATAAGGAAATTTTATGAAAGGGAAAAATTTCCCTAGCATATTTTAATTTTCTACCTCAAAAATCAAATTAATTTTTATAACAAAACAAGATAAAATGTTTCCTTTACCCAACCTTATCCCATCAAATTTCCTCACCTGCTGCCACCCACAGCAATCATGAAGAAGACAGAATACTTTTCCTTTATTTTCCAACACCCACTTATACCAGCTTGTCAGCGGTCTTCTTTAAGAAGGTGCTTGGCACTTTAGAAGAAAAACATGTGTGAGGGGAGTTTTATTGAAGTTACCATGGTGAACACGGCTGACAAAGGGAAAATAAGGAACAGAACAGATTTCAGCCCCAAATCACCAGAATACTGCCAGACACTTAAAGCTTCAATTAGTTGTTTTAAAAATCATAATGATTTTCTCCTTCTTTGATTTAGCCTATTGTCCCCAACTCTTCTAGAGTTCTGCTTAACAGCAGAGGAAAAGACTACTTTGACAAACTGAAAATCTCTTGATTTTATGTGAATTATATACTGAATTATTTTGTGTATAAAACTGATATCTGCAATTAGCATGAAAACAAAATACAATAGTCAGTTTTCACAAGTACAGAATTTGGTCTTTTACTTTTATAAAAGATCTGACTTACTGTCAAGACAACTCTTTACCTCTGTTTTTCAATGTATTTTAATCTCTGATGAATCAAGAAAGAAATAAAAACATAGGTTCTACACTCATTTGTTAGACTGAGGTTAACCCGCATCTCAGACTGCAGGAACACCTGAAAGGAAGGGAGACTGCAGAAAGGTCCTGAATTCCATTATTTTGGAATCTTATCATACACAGTGGTAGCTCAGATTCACTCTTTGATGTTTGTGTCAGTTTCCTGACACAAGTTTGACATTCCTGTGCATCCTGAAGAATCTTATGGCATGGTCCATTCGCTCCTAAATTCACATATTAAAGTTCTAACTCCCAGTAGCAGAGAACACGAATGTATTTGGAAGATCTTTATAAACCTAAGCATGGTAAAATGAGTCATATAAGTGATCCATAACCCAACATGACCAGTGTCCTTATGAGAAAAGGAAATCAGGACACAGACCAACAGAGAAAAGACTGTGTGAAGACCTACAGACGATGGTCATCTATAAACCAGAGAGCAGCATCTAGAAGAAACCACCCTCTGGGCACCTTGATTTCGGACTTGTAGCTTCGAGAACTGTGAGAAAATAAATTTCTGTTGTTTTAGCTACCCCATTGTGCATTATTTGGCTATGACATTCCTAGAAAACTAATACAGAGACTTTCTGCATTAATTAATAAATATGTATCTGAAGCAGCAGCACATTTTAGGTATCCTGAAGAGTGACATGCACATCAGAAAAATCTATTTTTTTGAAATGCATCTATTACCACGTACATAAATGAACAGAAGACACTGAGACATTGACACCTTCTAAAAGGTGTAGAGAGGCCAGCTGATCACTTTCTAGATAAATGTATGGAGATGACGGAAGAGAAAAAGGAAAGAAGAGAGGAAGAGTCAGAGAAAAAGAGAATATAATAAAACTTTGGCAGGAAAAAAAAAAGAAAAGAAAAAGAGATATATCTCATTTTAAAGGTGATACCCACGATAATTTCAATGTATAAGTAAAAAAAATTAATAAAACTTTTTGGACTTAATATGCAAAATGTATACTCATATTTTTATCAAATAAATTTGTTACTATATAAGTTTCAGGTATACAGGATGCTATCCTGGTTTATTTATATATGATTGCTGATGAAACAATATTTATCACATTATATGAATATAGTAAAATATTATTGCCTGTATTCATTATACTATGCACTAGATCTCTGTGGTTTATTTACCACTTGTTATAAGTTTGTACTCAAATATGATCAATCTTATTCTTTCCTCCTTTGTATGCTAAAATTTTTATTGAAATTTTAGCAATGTGTTTTACATCAAAAATAGATGAAAACTAATTTAATTATCTGATGTTTGAAAATTTATATTTCTGTACCTTAAAATATCAATTGGCTTATTTTGATACCGTTCATTTTATGCTTCTTGACAATTAAGAGGAATTTTTACATTATTACATACAGGCACTTCTCAAAAATAGCACATTATAGTCTAGTCCCAATAAATAAAGTGTATATTAGATATGCTTATTTCTCTTGTAAGTTGGTTTTTAATGGTTTAGAGGTAATCATGAGGCATCAGATAACATTTTTTAATCTGGATCTGATGGATCTGATTGGATCTGATGAGGCAAATTTGCAGAAATTAACTTTGTAATAGTCAAAACATCAAGGTATCTAAAATCACTGTTAGGCAGTAAACCAACTGAGTAACTGATTTATAATAATATATGCATTAGCTGGTATGCAATCTCACCTGTTATTCACCAGTTTAAACTTACTATGTAATTAGTAAGGGAGAGGTTTTAATAATTATTTTATTTTGATAATTATAATGCCTTTTTAAAATGACAATAGAAATATTTGCCATTTTGCCTTCATGGAGACAAAAACTATTTTGAATATAATCATAAAACCCTGTGAGTATAAAAACCACTAGTGGAAGTACTGTGTTAGCTATAATTTTTAAATTGTTAGACAATCAGTAGATTGTGAAGTCAAATTATGGGATTGTGAAAAAGTAATTTCTACTAAAAATAGAATGGAATAAAATAGAATAGAATGGAATATACTAGACAGCATAAGGTATGTTGTGCAGAGTACATATTATTTTGTGCAACTTTCTTTATATATGTATGTGTGAGTATGTATATATACTGGGCTACAGTGTAAAGGGTAAGTAAAATGTATTTATTTTTATAAGTTATAATTTTTTAAATTCAAAGTACATATTTTCAGAAAAAATAGTATGGGGAAATAAAATGATGAAAAGGAATTTAAAAAGATTAATAGAGAAATGTTTAGGGAGATTAGAATTAAAAATTATGAAAATCAAATATTAACCTGCATAATGCTGGTTTAAACCAGTGTAACACATGGTATTAAACTGAATTGTTAAACTATACTAGAATAAGTAGTTAAAAAGCATAGTTTGATAAAATAGCTTCCCATATGGAACTGTTCTGACTCTACCAGAGAAGACTCTGAAATGATGTGGCAGCAATGAAGAAGAATCATGACAGTCATGGGAGAAGAAAGCTCTGGAAGTAATAATTGAATAAGACTAGAACAGGAATTAAAGACATCAAGATCCAGTGACTAGGATGAAAACTTATATTTTTTAGTTAAAACATTCCCAAAATCCCACTTTCTTAGAAAACTCTGAAGAGTTGAACCCCTAACAAAAGAAAAAGAAAAAAGCAAATAAAAAGATGAAGAGTAAGTTGTTCAAATCAACCTTTCATTTTAGGATAAAATATTTCTTAGGATGTCATGTTGAAACATAGCTAGTGAACATTTATGCAACAAATTGTAGGAGTGCCTGCATGATAAAA